GGGATGGGACATCTCGAACACACCCGGGGTGAGTGGGTAACGTGGATCCTCTCCCGCCCCACACGGCCGTGTCTCTGTGCTCTGTCGCAGGCGGGAGCCTCTCCAAGCAGGACTGGACCATCCAGTGGCCCACGACGGAGCCGGGCAAGGAGAACAGCCCCGGGTGCCAGGCGGAGCCGGGGCAGTGGGCACGGACGCACCTCTCGCAGAGCCCCAAGGTCCAGCCCAAGTGCGGGCAGCACCACTGCCACGGGGGCTCCCCCCACGCGCCCCTCTACACCCACGTGGACCGACTGACCGTGGAGGCTCACCCGGGGCTGTGCCCGCCCCTCGAGTCCGGCCACCGCTCGCTGCCGCCGTCCCCCCGGCAGCGCCACGCCGCCCACACCCCCCCGCGCACCCCCAACATCGTCACCACCATGACCCCGCCGGGGACCCCCCCCGTGCGCCGCAGGAACAAACTGAAGCCCCCCGGGACTCCCCCGCCCTCCTCACGGAAGCTCATCCACCTCATCCCGGGCTTCACCGCCCTGCACCGCAGCAAGTCCCACGAGTTCCAGCTGGGCCACCGCGTGGACGAGGCGCACACCCCCAAGTAAGTGGGTGCCACGGGGTGCCGGGAAGGTGTTATGGGGACGATTGCCGTCCCAGCTCCGTGGGGAAGGAGCTTTTATCCCTAAATGTCGGCACGTCGTGTCTCGGTTTGAGCTCTGATGGGGGAAATCCTTTGCGGTTCCGGCAGTCGGCAGAGATATTGGGGGGGTGGGAGGGTTGGGGTTGGGGGGATGGCATCTGCTTTGCTCCCTCGTTTTGGGAGCGCGGGGTGGACGGGGAGCATCCTGAGGGGCACCAAGGCTGCTGGTTGGCAAAGCCCTGGAGTTCCAGAGCGTGGGATGGGTGGGCTGGACGAGGGGGAGGGTTTGCGTCCGCAGCTCAGGGATGGCCGTACGAGCCGCGCTGGGGCACGGCAGGGCGGGAAGGGTCATCTTCCAGCTGAAGTGTGGATTTATGGATATGGAAAGCCTGATGGGGATGACAGTTTATATCCCGGGCACCTCCCGGCGTGTTTGCCGTCCCTGGTGGTGTCCGGGGGAGGCTCTCCGGTCTCTGCCCACGTTCCCGCTGCTCCTGCTCTGCGGCTCCGGTGCCGGCAGAGGCTGCTGCTGCGCAGGGAAAGGATTCCCTGGTGCCAGCACTCTCGCTCTCCATCTCTTGCCACCCCTTTTGATGTCCGTGCTCAGAAACCCCTTCTGCTGCCCCTGTTAGGGGGGGACAAAGGGGACCAGTGGCCACCTTGGGGCATCATCTGCTCCCCCCGAGGATGGAGTGGCTGCTCCCTGCTACCCTCCCAAAGCAGGAACCCCAGGACAAACTGCCCCGTTGTCCCTAAATTTGGGGTCCTTGAGGATACAAAGGCCGTGCCAGAATCCCAGGCAGGGCTGTGGTGGTGGCCTGGTTACCCTGGCACAGCAGCTCAGACC